GAATGTGGTCAAATTCCTGCGAAACGACTTTAAATCATTACCTCTTTTGTCATTCTAAATGTTGCTTCCGCCTTCTTATAGGGAATGTCAGGTAAAATGGTAATGGGTCCACCTCCTTTCTTGCTGAAGAAAGTCAGTTACTCTTTCATACATGGAGCGAAATGTACGATAGGGTACTCACGCCATTATACAACTGTAACGAGTGACGGTACCTACAAAAATGAACTACCCCCTTCCTCACTTCCGCAGCGTTATCACCATGTCTGATTTCTATGATCACTTAGTAGCGAAGAAAATATCAACAGTCACACGCATGAAGAGCAAAAGCTTAGTGCTCGACAAATCGTTAGGCAGCGTTCAGAGTCGACGATCTTCCATACGATTAGGCGAGTAGGCGAGTGGGCGATCGGAAGTACGTATTGATATGTTGCTCCGCCCACTGAGCGGTCCTTTGGTCGCCTACTCGCCTACTAGCCTAATCCACCTAATCGATACCTATCCCTTTCTTTATAGACTAATCGCTAAATTGCCTAATCGCATGTACGCCATCTCTGAACGCTGCTTACCTATCAGTAGTTTTCTCATAGTTGTTCAGTGCGTCTTGTCGGCAGCAACATTTACAGTACTGCTTTCCCTGCTATGGTCGTCCTGTAACACTTAAAGGATAAGGATAAAGCATTTGCCGTTGATCAATCCCTTTTTTGGGATGCGGCACGCATTCTACTTCCATTTGTACATTCGTTTTCTGTGGTAATGAGGGCGGAGCTTTTCCGTGGAAGATTCCTTTAAGTGCGCGCAAACGACTGGGCCCACTCTGGGACGCGCCGTGTGCTTCACATCCCTTCAATTGGTGGACTCATTTGAAAGATAAAATATCTCTTGGAAAACGTGCGAATTTCAGATTCTTTAACCTTGTCGTGATAAACACTGAAGTAGCTAAGAATTACTACGCGGACCCTTTGAATCACGAAAATTTTATGTGGGCGGAATAACATTGTTATTGGAAATCCTATGGCCAAGCTTGCACAGCATCGATCACTCCTTGATGTTTGTTTATGGATCCTTCGACAGTGATGATCCTACTGCATCGATCCAGCCCGATCCCTTCCTTCCAGGGTTTACGGACTACTTGATTTTTCCTCAATGGTCCTGCCGCGATGGCTAGAGCACAGACGATTAGAGAACGGGTGAATGCCCTAGGACTAAGCCTTGGAGAGGAGAGGGACCCGCGAGAGAGCGCAGAGGCGGTTTAAAGGGCTGAGTTCAAGTAGTCCGTCAACCTTCCTTCCAGCGGGCCAAATATGACCCCTGCCAACCTGTCGAGGATTCTTCAACGCACGCTTGATCCTGGTGCCTGGCGAGCGAAGAGTATGTCCCTAATGGTCTAGCAGGGCACATTCTTTTACACGGGAATACCTCCGCAGGGTATGGGCAAATCTCGATAATGGCGTAAGTCGCGCGCGCGGACAGCCGCGGCGACTTGGTTCCTGCGCGACACCGCAGTCACGATCTCGTGACCCGACACGTCACATCCAGCGCGGATTATTAGATATCTGATCCTGTGAACTACGACACCAGCTTCGAAAAAAAAACACTATCAACCACAGATAAGGAATTCATCAAAACAACTCAACACTAATGCTGTTCATTCTTCCAATTCCCCGTGATAGATGCAGTCTTCAGTGTCTTATTTTGAATTGATGCTGGGTTCTATTCTACTTATTCAGCTCATTTTCATCAGCTATCTCATCATATCGTTTTATAAGCAGAAGCACAACTGCGCCTGGAACGATTTGTGCCAACGACAGACGGCGCTCAACCGGATCTATTTTCACGAATTGGAAATGAGTCGGTTCTGGGCAACTCCTGAAGCTGAGTAACAATTCTTTATCTAAATTGATCAGTGATCAATGAATCGATATGTACATTCTATACAGCTTATGTCAACATGTAATTCGTGTGAAATAAAACACTAGTAAGGCACCGGAGATAATCGAGCAAAAAAGTACAGGACTATCGCAAGTTACGAGGCATTGTGTGGCCGACGCATTAGAACCACGTGAAATACCTTCTTAATCGAAATTGACAGCTGGAAAGTCATGGGGTGTGAGCAAATTCTGTTTTCCTTGAAGTTCCTGCCCCTATTAGGCTTAGTTCTAAAGAATGATCCCGTATCTTGCGACAGCGTCGAAGTACACACTATATATGATCGTACTTATAGACTGCGGAAAAGAAGAAAGATAATTGGTGAAGTAAACAATACGATTTTCACGTCAGAGAGCAGAGCAACCTGCGGACGCGCGCGCATTTCACGACTATATCTTTCGCCATTTATGCATGTCTGCGAATGGAAATCGGGCATGTGCAATTGCGTTTATTGCGACACAGCAAGTTCGTCGTTTGGGCACAGTTTCATGGACCGCGGATGGCACGATGCCGAATGCGTGTTTCATATGTGACGATTGCACGTGGATTTAGGCATAAGGACGATTAGGCGATTAGTCTATAATGAAAAATATACGTGTAGATCAGGCGATTAGGCGGGATGACTACGTACGTGTAGATTGATGTGTCTGACCGGCCATAGAGCGCTGCAGGCGAGTCGCTTAGTGGGCGGAGCAACAAATCAAGACGTATTCTTCCCTTATCGCCTTCTTGCCTAATCGACTACTCGTTTGATCGCCTAGTCGCACGTACGATCGCCAACTATGAACACTTCATAAGTGATTAGGCGAGTAAGCAAGAAGGAAAGCATACGTACCGATCTGTTTGCTCCGGACGCTGAACGATCGCCTAGTCGCCTAATCGGTACGTATCCTTTTTCCTCACAGCCTAATCGCCTAAGCGTAAATGTGATCGCGAAGTATGAGTGCTGCCTTGGACGTGTGGTTTACCGTGTAACTAGAATTTTGGGAGCACGCTAGCGTCTGCGCTACCATGAATTTATCTTCACATTCTCATTAATATTTACCCTACAAGACAAAATCAGTAGTTTTAAGAAACCAACAAAACTTTTCTACTCCTTTCTGGAGAGACAAAGGCTGTTTAGCAATCTGCATAGAGTGCCCCATGCAAGATTCATGGATGTCGACGTGGTTATTCAAATGGTACAAGCAGAACATCCTTCACTACAGCGAACTGCCGCCACGGCAGGAAAAGGACTGCGTCATTACCAATCCCTCCAGGGTAATACTCCCACTATTCTCAGACCAGGTACTCACATTCAAATATAATACACTCTGAACACTTACAGACTCCAAATCACCCGTATTAGTTTGTCGCCCATATTCAATTCATTATTTTTTAACTCCACCAATTCGTTCCCTGGAATGGGAAAAAAATTGGGTCAATTATATAAGCAAGCTTAAGAGGAAATGCAGAAGGACGCCTTCTACAGAGTCGTAAGTCCTAGTGAGTACTCTTGCCGTACCATACTGAGGTAGTAATGGCCAACGTGGCCTGATCTACCAGCTAAGGTTCTGCTTCAAATCGTGCAGCACGTCCATCACGATTCCGACATTCATACTGAGGAAGTTCATGCTTGTTTCGATAACTCCGAAAATATGTACCGAAGCTGCTTCATCGCTCAGATCCAATCGCAGACGTTCTTCCACCTGAAATACGCGAAGACTTCATACGACACCCATAGCGAGCTTAAAGACACATTTTGCGATCGCTTTGGGGAGGGTTATTGTTTGCCAAAAATATTATATTTACGAAGGCAGTTACGTAGCCGTAGTACTAGGTTGTCCCCAAAAGCACTGCCTTTTTTTCAAAGGGAAAAGACCCTGCTAAAGTTCCAGGTTTGTATATTATATCAATGCCATTCGGAAGGAATTTGTCTGGTTTATAAGAGAATAGAGCATCAACGAAGGTTACGAATAATATATCACTTGATGTGAAGTGATAGGGCTCAAAAAAATTGCAGTTTGAAAACGGCTGAAGGCAAAAATGATCTAGCGGCAAACCGATAAAAACCAAACTCGAACAGAAACAGGACGAAGCTTTCTCGACAACCTATTAGCGGAATGTTCAAAAGAACTCGCGTTCAAATAATTGGCACATCATGCTCGATTTCGCTTTAGGGGAATAGAGCTAGGGCAAGTTGTCGGTTTGGCTAATTTTCGCCGACTTGACCTCAAATTCGCAGGCCTGCAAAGGGTGCGGAAGGAAAACACACCATTTTGTAGGGCAGGCTAATCCCATCCAAATAGTATATGATTTGATTTGAAAACATGAAATCTTAGTAGAAAAATCATTGGTGCAGGGGAAGCGACACTACTAGGACAAGATAACAGGTCCGCTGATGAAGAGATTAGACAAAAATGAAATTAACCGTTAGAAGCACATTTCGCGATGATCGCATGGGTGGAAAAGCCCTTCCCCTCTCGTCCGTCTTCTGTGAGCTACTCCTCTTCGTAGTACCAAGAAAGTGGTCAACCATTGGATGTGCATAAGTGCTACGGCCTTCTCATCCCACAAAATCAGTGTGCGACCTGCTTATCAAGAGTACTTAGAAATTTTCTTTATTCTGCATTACTGTCGACCAACCGATCAACATCTATTTTCATATTTGGGGTACAATAAAACCCGTACAAAAGAAGCGTCATCATTGCCTTGCCAGTGCAATTAACTTGACTTGAACACGAGCTGTATCCCGCTCTTCGGAAATTTGCTCGATCGCCAGCATCCAACATAAGGGAGAACAGATTCAGGATGACGTTAGCATGGCGACGCAGTATGCGATAGGCCGAATCACAATGCATACAAAAGTGACGAAAGTGTTCGCTGAAAAAGGGCACCGTAATGCACATGAACTTGAACATGAAATTGAAGCACTTTGCGCCGAACTGATGACAAGAGGTAAAATTGCCGAACAGGCATGTCCATGTGATCATAGGTCAAGGAGCAGACCCAGCGGGATTCATTGATGAAATATGACAGTGTTCCGTAGCAAGTTTAATGGGGTCTTCGCCAATTCGCCAGCAGTCCATTGAAGTCGTAAGGCCCTACAACGTACTTTATTTCCAACGACTTCAGTGTAGACCGAGACATTATTTTCATCACGTCAGCTGGGTCTCTTTCTCCCTTCCCGAACAGATTAAAACATAATGGTCAGTTCAGTCACTTTGCTACCTCTCCCCTCTTGTACACAGAAAAATGGCATCCATACGTTCAAAACTCCCACCATAGCCTTCGAGAAGTCATTTAAGTTGGCATTTAATTAGTCAGCTGATTTCAGCTTGTGTTGCTCTCTCAGAGCTGAAGCCAAGCATTAAAATACGAAAAGAGCCCACTGGTAATCACGACATCACTTCACGCGCGACAAGCAGAAATATGAAAGTGATGGCCTGCAACACACCCTTTCCATCGAATTAAAGGCAAAGGTCGGGCTCAGGCACGCTAGAGAAGTAATTCCCGTGCCTGGAGGTTGTATGTGGGTAGCTGCACACATTGCAGCAACTTCCCACCTTGAAAAACCCCGTTAAGGCCCCGGGGCGTTCGGTTTCAATCCAGGGCCGCCTGGTCAATCCAGGACCGCCCACCTCCGGAAGTGGTGCGTGGCTGGCATAACGTGTGAAATCAGCTAGGTTGATTGCCGTATCAACCGATAGAACGTACAACACAGGGTTTCTGACGAAGTTCAAGTAGAATGACTGACATCTTCCAGAAAACTTGTTTGTACGTGCCTCTTCCCCAAGCCAGCCTCCACTGCTAGTGGGAAAGAGGGTTTTGTTAACGGCCTTGTCGACGGTTTTTCTCAGTTTTTTCTCCACTGTCGTTCCACTTCGCATCTCTATACTCAGTTTCAATCGCCATAAACCCCCTTATTGAGCCCGACTTTTGCCTTTAAAAAACTGCCGGTGTTACCTTGTCTAAGTATTTATCCAAGAATGTTCGATATAACTTTTCAAT